CCTTCACCCACAGCCGATGCACCCTCAGCCGGCGCCGCAGTCACAACAGCCGCAGCCGGCGCCGCAGTCACAACAGCAGCAGCAGCAGCAGCAGCAGCAGCAGCAGCAGCTCCCCCACCACCTCTCGCACCACCCACACCACTCGCACCATGTCCAGCGCGCGCCGCACCCGCACTATCCCCAGTCGCAGTTGCCGCCGTCGCAGGCGCCGCAGGGCCACTCGGCACAGCAGCGGGCATTGGCGGCCCAGCCGGATCGGGGGTACGTGCTGGAGGCGGGGCCCGGCGGGCAGGGCCCTGGCACAGGCTTGCCCGGGGACGCCTTCGACCTTGCGGCCGGCCCGCCCGGTCGAGCGCACTTCGTCGACCAGCTCATCGCCCCGACCATCGAGAGCGACACCATCCAGCCGAGCGTGCTGCTTCCGCAGAACCCCTCCCCGCCGGCGGGGGCCGGCGCCATGGGCCCCGGCCTGCCCCCGGGGCACTATGCCCACCACCTCCCGGCCGGAGCCCTGCCCTCGCAGCAGGCGCAGGCGCCGCCCCAGCAGCCGCCCTATGCCCTGGGCCCGGGGCCTGCGCATGGTGGGCCCTTCGGCCCGCAGCCCCACGCGCACCTGCAGTCTGGCCCGCAGCAGCAGCAGCAGCAGCAGCAGCAGCAGCAGTATCACCACCACCACCACTCCCACCAGCAGCAGCTGCACCCCCACCAGGCCCACCACCAGCTGCCCCACTACCAGCAGCAGCAGCAGCAGCAGCAGCAGCCCGCACAAGGTCGGCTCCATCCGGCGGGGGCCCCGGCATCGCAGGAAGCCCCGCCGCGCGCTGACCCGCAGGAGGCCGGCGCCCCGGTGAGCGAGGATGCCCAGGCTGGCGAGGTCCAGCCGCCTGCCAAGGGCGGAGCCCGGCCGGACGCCACGGCCATGCCGGACGCCGAGGCCGCCCCCGGGGCAGGGGCCCCGCCGTCGCCCGGGCCATCGACGCCGGCGCGGCGCGGCGGCTCCGCCTCCAAGCGCGGCACCCCGGGCACGGCCACGACACCAACACCCCGGTCCCGCAAGCGGCCGACCCCCGCCGCGGCTGCCAGCTCCTCCGGCGACGCCACCAAGGCCAAGGGAGCGGCGGCGGCGGCGGCGGCCGGCGCGACCGGCAGCGCCAGCAGCAGCAGCAGCGATCCCGCGCAAGCCGAAGGCCCAGCCTCGCGAGCCAGCGCCCGGCTGTCGGCGGCGGCGGCGGCGGCGGCGGCTGCCGCCGCGGCTGCCACAGCAGCCCAGAGCTCCCAGGCCGCGGCCGGCTCGCCGGCAGCCGGGACCGAGGCGGCCGCGCCGGCGCCAAAGCGCGCGCGCGCCAGCCGGGCCGCTCCCCCGGCAGCCGGGGCCGCAGCCGACGACGGGGCCAAGCCCGGGCCCGGGCCCGGGCCCGGCGGGAGCGCCTCGGCCGCGCTGGCCGCCCCGGCGGGGGCCAACTGCCAGGAGGGCTCGGCGGCGGCGG